GTAGTCATGTTGTGCCATAGCCGCAAGGAAATTGAGCCATCCGCTTTATTTGCCCAACGTGAACCACAATCACACCTGAATGTTCGCAAGGGAGCCCAAGTTCTTTACATTTAGGTAGGACCACTTTGCCAGATGTTGCTTTCTCGCTGCTTCGGAGCCCTTATTGCAGCCGACGGATGCGCAAAATGGTTTCCGCAATTGGTTTGGTGGGCTTCCGTTTGACTGGTTCTGGTCCCATCAGATGCGGGATCTCATGCCGATGACTCCCTCCTTTGGCTCTGAACCATTGGACAGAAGGGAACTGGGCGTGGTTAACCTGTAGATCTAGGGGTTGATTCCCCATTTTTTTCAGCCATCGTTCTTTTCAAAAACCAGCCATTTCCCCAGGTTTTTTGGTTTTCTAGAAAGAAGGCCCTAGAGTAGAGTTCACATTGGACGTGAGAAGACCAAAAATGAGCGGTGGGTAAGTAAGTAAACTCCTAACAGTCGAACGGGGTCCTCACCTTTTGGTTTCCCATGACGCAGGTGGAGACGGAGCTGCGGCGCTGCGGAGAGTTCTGGGTCGGCACCAAACCCGCGGACTCCGACGAGTGGCTGTCGCCGCGGGCCTAAAAATTGAGGGTCCCCTCCAAAGTAGATTGTTTGGTTCTTATGGGGCACACCCATAGGTTGTGGGTCAAAGAAAGGTACTAAAATCCGAGTAACCCCCGCTGTTAAAGTTTGAGCGGCACCCATATGGGGAGCTTTCTATTTGGGGTTTGTCCCTTGGTGTTGGGGGGAACACGCTTTCGTTTGGTTTTGAAGGGAACAGAAAAGGAATACCACAATGTTGGGAGCATCTCGCAGTAGATTTGAAAGCAATGGCAACGCAGATAGAAACACAGCTAAATATGAAAGACTCTGTCAAAAACATAGTGCCGCAGCTCGCCCATGTGGGTTGTGGGGAGTGAACCTATCCCCAAGGAAACCACCAGAATTGAGTCATGGTTGTGGAAGACTGGGTTTTACGGCCACTTTCTGTGATACCGGGGAATTCTGTTCGAGAGTGACAAAGTAGTCATAGGAATGGCCCACTTCAGCATCACAGAAATGGCCATCTTCCACTCCCACGAACTGAGCCGAGGATATTTGTGGAGTGGGCGAGGGGCGGCGGCTATCACTTCGAGTGGTTCAGCATGGTGTCGCCGGAAGAGTTCCTGAGCTGGCCCTCGCATCTGTGAGCTGGCTTGGAAGAGCAGAACTGATTTGTGAAGTGAGTGCTTTCTCTTCACGGTTCACTAACCGCTCATCATGCTTTTGACACATTTGGTGGCAAACAAGAAGTTCATGCTTTGGTCAATCCACTCAGGAATCGAACTACTGTGGAGTGTAAATGCCGACAACCAATAGTGTCCCATGGTGTCACAGAGGTGCGAAATGGATCTCGTCCATCCACAGTATGGACCAGTTTTTGGTTGGGGCAACATCTCAGGTAGAGAAGGGATCAGGTGTTCTCTGGGGGGGAGGGCTAGACAAGCCCACATGTGATGAAAGTCCTTTGTTCCTGATTGCCGGTTTGGGACCATTTTCTTCGATCCGATGTTCTGCCATTCCGCTCGGGAGGGCCGGTGTCGGCACTAAGTTGATTATCTGTGCTTAGGAGATGGTCGGCAGAGAGAGCCAGTGTTGCCCCTGTGGATGATTTGCTTTTCGGGCCAGAAGGGGGGAGCATCCTCTAAGTGGAAATGTTCTGGGGGGCAGCCGCTTCCGCATCGCAGAGCGTATGCTTGTTTGAATTTGTTCTTGCACAAGTCTGGGTCCAACGCTCGGGCATTCACGTGGAATGCCGCCATCTCCCACAGTTTTCCGAGAGGCCTATCCAGCGGCTGGTTAGGGAGGAACGAGATGCCAACGACATGATATTAAAGTGTGCTTCCTGAGTTGTTGGACCTATTCTTTTTGGGGAGACCACTTGAAGGGGCAGAGTCCTTAGCAAGTAAGTGGTTAATAAGCCTGCTTATAACCCACTTAGGAGACTTATAACCATGGTAAGTGGGTTATACCCAAGCTCACTAACCACTTCCTCAGTACAATGCCCCTCTAAATCTTTCAGCAGTCAACGTGGCGCTTGCCCATGGCAGTCAGGGCTTCAGAGGTTGGCGAAACCCTGTGCAATAACTTTCCCATTCAGACAGATGTGCCTGGTAAAGTCTTGACTGCTATTGGGTTGGATCTTCGGACTTTAACTTTTTGGGAAATCAAGAGGTTTTCCACTAAAGCCCCAAAAAGCTAAACTTTTGGCAGGGGGTCAACAGCAACCAAGAAATGACCCAGGCGTTTCATTTGGCTTGGTGGCCCGGACCAAATATCGGCAGAAGGGCGAAAGCAGCCAATGGTCAAACCCTTCGGGTGCCAGAGCCGGGCTCAAGGCTGGCTGATCCTCTTGCTCGCACTCGAAAACGGTGATTCGCCACAATGCAGCGGTTTCAATAGTGAGCTCCAAACCCATCTTAGACCACTAACCATAGCACAACCAAATGGATACACGCTTATACTTATAACTTGTCTTAGCTTATCCTAGGCAACATGCATCTAAGTCAGCAGCAGCAGCAGCAGCAGCAGCAGCAGCAGCAGCAGCAGCAGCAGCAGCAGAGAAATGTTATCCAACCTGTTGCGCAACATGTTTGTCCAGTCTTTGACCGTGGTTTAGTTCTGGAAACGCAGCCACCCCCCTGAGACCAGTGACCAAAGAGTTTTTAGCAGGCATCGCCTGCAGGGCTAACCCGAGTCTACACCCTTCAGACAACTCCAAACCCAGTCTAATCTAACCAAACGTCAACCAACCCTTAACCAACCCCGAGCATGGGTCGGGGGGGATGGGGGAGCACCTTGAACCTGGAAACACTATACATAAATATATATATATATATATGTATTATCGTGTATGCATATATGCGGCATATACTGCCTTACAAGCTGATGGTGGCAAATATCTCTTCATCCCTCGAACACATTCCAAAGAACCTACCCGCATCTGTTGAACCTACGGCCAGCTCACGGCTCAAGTAAGGTGGGCCCTGACACAGGAGTCACTGGCGATACTATTCGGAAGTCTTTTAGTTCTGTTGGGAAGGGCGAACCCAAAATTTGCCAGTAAAACGGGCCTTTTCTGGGTTGCGGGCGAAGTTCCTCAACAACTTGCCGGGGTTTTGTTGCACGCGGTGCAGAAGCAGATTCCGTGCTGAAAAGCACGGCCGACAGGCCCTTTCATGGCCTGTTTTAAGGTGCCTCTCTGAGACCCGTTGCATTGGCGAGGTTGCTTGCGTTTTACTTTGGGTCGCGGCGTTTTGCTTGGCGGATCAATCGAAGAGACAAGCCCTGGCATGCGACTGTTCGGACGCATTTTCGTCAGGAGTTGTCCTGGTCATTTGGAGCCATGTCGCTTTTGCATTTCTCGTAAGGAAATCCATGGGCCTTAATGTCGACTTCATATTAGTAAACGGGGTTCCCCCCCCCTCAACTGTTTTATTATTTGTAGTACTTGTAGTGGTACTTGTGTGTAGTACTTGTACCAGTGGGTTTAGTAGTCCTTGTAATACTTGTAGTAGTACTTGTAGTACTGCTTCAAGTACTGGTAGCACTTGTAGTACTTTTAGCAGTACCAATACCTGGTTCTTGCTAGGGGTCGCTTTGGGGTGTTTATTAATGTGAACCCTTTTGCTAAGGCGGGCTTGACCTTGTGTGGGGTACCTCATGTTGGAGTCCAGAGACATCACTGTTGTAAAGAGACTTCATTTAAAAGCCGCACCTTCCGGGCCTGTATGTTTTTTGGAGAGAGGTCTGCTGGGGAGCCTTTGAAGGTTCCAGTTATACAATTACCTTGCCTGTTTTTTTTTTGGTCTTTTCTGCGCACTTGTTGCATGTGTCTCTGTGCCATCAACTTCTGCACGCTACCTGCTTGCTTTTGAATCATTTTGGACTGGTTTGCTCCCTGATGCAACAAAACTTGTTTGGCTCGCCCGCGCGTTTCGGGGAAGTATATTCATGTCAGTTTTTTTGTGGTTTAATTATTAATCTTGTGCTTTGGAGGGTCGACTTGGGGGGGCGGTGTTGTATGTTTGCAATTAACTGTTGAATCAGCCCCTTCTTAATTTAGTATTGGGTGAAAAAGCGGGTCCAGTGGCCGAGAATTTTGTTAATACGCCCCCATTCATTAAACTTAGGTTGACAGTAAGCTTACCCAAAAGAAGTGCCTAGTGTGCAGTCACATGCCCGATGTAGGGCAATTCTCAAGGGCAGCGCCAATCACCCAGAAGAGCTTTGGCAATGTTCATCCCGCATTAAGCAACCCCTGTTTATCAATATGGAGATGTCCAGGTTTTAGTGGGGAACTATGACTTTTGGACCGGAACACCCCCTATCAATAAACTGGGGCTTATTAATATGGGGACTACATAACTTTTCAACCTGCATTTCTTGGCTCAGCCAATTCTTTTTGCGCGCCATCGTGAATCGTGGGATCTCAGAGGGAAGGGCAGAGCCTATGGCAGCTTGCAGACAGGAAAAGCGCTCTTCAAGATCTCGCTGTTTTGGGTTTCGGCAGAGGTTGCCTTGGCACCCCAAAAAGGCTGTTTGAACTTGCCAAAGGGTGGTTGGGGGGTCGAAAAAAGGTGTGTGTGTGTGTGGGTGTGCAGGTGTGTGTCAACAGATCAGCCCAGCATGCGACTTCTGCTGCCGCGTCCTGAGGTCTCATGATGTGAGTGCTTCATCACGATCAACATTTGGGACCCTTCTGGAGCAGTTGCATTGGAGTGTAGTTCTATTTGCCCTTGACTGCCTTGAGCTGTTCTGTCCTTCAAGTGGGGTGTTGCCATGTGGTAAGGTGACTAGTGCCAGAAGTGCGCAAAAGGATACAGACTTCAACCAAAGCAAGCGAGTCGTCACGTCACTCGTGGCCTTTTGTGACGCCATGTGTCTGGACTGATTACGACTCCTGGCTCATTCGCTTCTGACTTTTTGACATGGATTATGTGCCTTTGGCGAGCACTGGGCGCCTTTGCGGCTCGTTTTCGCCAAGTTCCAAGGGTTCGCAAATTTGTGCCCCGCGAGCCCATTCCAGTTGTCGTCTTTTGCCAGGTTAGGCAACAGTTCTGAAAATTCAATCTTTGAAACCTTTCAGGCAATGTCTGGAAACACTATTCTAGCGGGGGGGCCTAAACTTCAAGCAGCTACCCTGGTTGCAACAGAAGATGCAGATGCTCAGAGTCGCCACATGTGGCAGCACCTTTGCCGCGGTGGTCATCTTTTGTTTCAAAGCAGCTGTCCAAGGCTGCTTCTTGGTTGCCCACTTTTCCTAGCACACCTGCCCCATGGGTGGATCCTGAAATGACTATGAGTTTCAGAAGAGAAATCACCACCAAAATGATGTCCACCAAAGGGTCCCCAATTAAAGCCCGTACCATTCCTGGTGCGCGTTATTGAAGAGAGGCAATAGAAGCAGAGGCACTTGCAGCCATGAAGGAGGGGTCCATACGGGCCACGGACAAAGGTATAAAGATCACTTGAATAATATACAGGGCAGGTGTGCGCAAGTTCTTCAAATAAAATTAAGCCCATTGTGGTCCTCACGTCTAGTAGTGGTGTGTCGGACATGTTGCACCATATTCGGATGCAGAGATTGCTTGAAAGAATTGATTGACAATGGACTTACTTCGGCCACCAAGAAGAAGCCGATCACCGTCATCGAGAACCTGCGCGAGGGTTTGTGCAATTCATGCTGTGGCTCCTGGCGCTGGAACATATATTAAAGTCCCAGTTGCGTGGAACATCGACAAGACTCGGGCAAATGCTATACCGAAGCGTTGACTTTTGCTAAAGTGCTTTACCAGTGCTTACTTTATTGGTTGGATGTGTGGACTTTAACTTGTTGCTTGAAACAGGTGGGATTGTCCAAATCGGTCCCATCAAAAGCTAGGCTTCTTGCAGAGGGGTCAACTCAACAGCAACTAAGCCAATGGGATTTGACTTCACGCAGGCATGAGGCATGTCTCCCACCAGGCATGAGGCATGTCTCCCACCAAAGAACTTCTACCAAAATGGTCTTAGGCCCCGCCAGATTCCATACCGCCAGCATCCAAGCTTTTGGATATTGATGGTTGTTGTTGGGAAACATTTTACATTTTTGCTTATCGTGGTTTAGTCGGAAATCCCCACTTAGCTGCTAACATTTAATTTGTTGCTCCCCTTCCAACGTCAACCAAGTCTTGGGACCCCCGCAAGCGTCACAAGCTCGACGACTTAGGCCTATGGTCATGCTGGCTCCACCCTGGCGCCGAGGAGAAATGGAGTCGACTCGTTTTCGGCACTCAAAGGCCACAGAGTGTAGCCCCCCCCCCCCCGTGGTGATTTCGGTAAAATGGATAGGTGTCCTTTACTGAAAAGCGGTTTTTTCTAGGGTCACTGGACGATGGGTCTAGAGCCCAGGGCTCCAATGAGTCTAGAGCCCAGGGCTCCAATGAGTCACCGAAAGAAGAAGGAGGCCGGGTATCTCTTCAAACAAAATGACGCAAGTTCTCGTAGCTAAGGGTCCTAGGACCTGGGTTTCGGCGGGTAAGGAAACGGTCTTCGGAGTGATTTCGAGATGGGTTCATAGCAGCCCAAGCCTTGCGGGACACCTTTCAAAGGCTTTATAGAGTGCTGTGCCTGTCCCCCCGCAAAGACCTTACTCTGACCTTACCAAAACACAAACCCGCAAATGCAACCAGAGACCCGAAAGGTAAGAGGATACACTTTTATTGGGCTGCCCGTTTTAGTGGGCAGCGGCAAGAGGGAAAAAGGGTGCCACTAAACAGAATGTCCCCCTTAAACATCGCGAGGTGAAGCTCCATTGGCCCACAAAGTGATGTATCTCCAGCAGTCGATCAGGTAACCCTCAACTTTTGGTTCGGATGGGTTCATAGATTTGAACCCCAGGCTTTTTGTAGAGGGTACACCTCCCCCTCCACACCATCGGGCTAAAAACCAGTGCCCTTTGAAATTGGTTCAAAGGGAAAGCAACTCGAATACCATCTTCCCTTGATGCATCTAACTAACTAGGATTAGGAGCCCTTTGTGAGATATGGCCCTTCATAATTCTCATTATTTTGCTTTACCCAAAAGAGAAACCAAAAGGGTATGTTTTGCTCACTTGCCCAAATCTGACCTTGTGACCTTCTGGTTTCCCAATTTTGCTCCGGTCCATTTTTAGTGCGGCCCCAAAAAGTTAACCTTTGATTCCTGCGTCCCTAAGGGGCAACTGAGTGTATGGTTTCCAGACAGGGCGCAACCTACTGTGGATGGACGAAATCCTGCACCACTTGAAACCACGGGAATCCAGTATTTCTTGGTATTTGCAGGGGGATCGAATCATTCCAGGGTTGCTTGTGTGGTGCGAAATGGATTTGGTGACATTCATAGTATTTAGCGCCCCATTTTTTCAGTGAGCCCCTTTGATTCCTGGGTCCCTAAGGGGCACTGAGTGTATGTTGTTGAAGACAGGGTGCAACCCATTTAGCACCCAGGATTGGGACCCACGTTCCTTCAGGATGAGCAGCATCAGCGAGGTGAAGCGCGGCGGCATGGCCATGTTCGGCAGGAGCTCAGAGCCGTGACGCATTCGTGGCGGGCGAAGCCTCCGCGCACTGCTTGGGTTCGGGGACTTTGTACTGAGGAAAGCATTTGTTTGTGGGGGGAGCTTAAAAACTGGGGACCCACTCAAATATTATATGTATACAGATTTATTTATTTTTTAGGGGGGGGGGGGCGTTTGAATCTTAGGAATCAGATCCTCCACAATGAGGGGGGTTACCTTTTGGTGTTTTTTCTTTCCAACTCAGAAAGGGTACCCTCGAAAATGGACACACTCTTTCAGGAGTACTATGTTAGTGGGGAATTGGCTTGGATTTCTTTTGGTCAATCCAGTCAGATTTGACTAGTTGAAGACAACAGCTTGATGTCGTGGTACGCCCCCTGTCCACTTAGGCTCTTGGTAAGGGATTGTTCCCCCAAGCAGCCATCTCTGGGGGGTGGTCCTTGGGCAGGTTTAGTGAGGAGGGGTGTCTCCGAAATAAGCACCATTGTGGGAAGAGATAAACCGCGAGATGCGATCTTGAGGCGTCCATTTCAGGCCTTACTCAATTGGATGGGATGAAGATGATACTCAGCCACTGAACAGGTCACTGTCTACACATATGCAGTGGAGAGGAGACTTGCAAAAGTTAGCTTGAATGAGCTCCTGACCACTACAACCCCCTTCACTACCACAACCGCCATTCCTGTTTGTTCAGGACATTGAAAACAACTGAGCCCCTGTTTCAACGGTTGAAAGGGAACTCACAAGAACATCGGCCACGTTCGGGCGGCCATCTTCTTTTTGGGTTAAGCAGCCGTTTTCCTGAGGGAAACTAGGTGCGTGCCCAGAACCTGGCCTGATGCTGACTATTTGTGACTACCCCGTGTATTGTATATTTAGGCGTCGTTTTCCAACCGACCTCTTGGTTCAGGGAAACAACAAATCAGTTTCCCTCTGATCGGTGGTTTGAACGTCAGGGGCTTATCTATTTGGCGGCTTCAGATCCGATCCCAAACCACTCCAAACCGACCAGAGGCTTACCTTCAAAAAGTCGTTCAGAAAGAAAAACAACGGGCCTTCTCCGGGCCTTCCCACCGAACCACTCAGAGGGTACCTGTAAAAAACAAAATAAAAAACACTTTAAAACGGCCGCAGTGATTCCCAGCACGCCGCCGGGGCTTCGGAATCGATTCGAAGGGCTCGGGGAGGACCCGCAGCGATGCCATGCAGAACCTGGAGGCCACGGAGGGGCCCATCGGCCGAAGCCTCGCGGAGGCCGGCCGAGGGTTCTCCCGATCCAAAAACCGGGCGCCGGGTTTTGGGGTTCCAAAGGTATGCGCTCGGTTTGGGGTACCCCCGATGGGCTGAGGGGCCTGTCAGGGATGCTTCCTGAGTTCACTTCCTGAGTTCTGGTCCTGAGTTCATTTCTCGACATAAGCAATGGGCGCCCCTACTTGCTGGTTCGAGGGTATCCTCCTTGTGGGTTTTCGGGAGTGAAGGAAACCACCAGCTGAATGATTCAGTTCGGTTTGTTTTCATCACTTTCTGAGTTCATGGACTCTATATATCCTTTTTGGGTTTGGAACACTTGACCACATATTTTTTGCGGGCTACCCGCAACAAAAATGACGAGCGCCCATTTGCTGACGATTTTTGTTTCTGGTTTCAAAGGGAATCGATGTCGCTATATACTGGAAATGCTTAATCAAATGGAAGATGAAATGCAAAGAATGGTGAGGCTAGCCTTTTTGGGGTTGGTTTTAAAGGGAAACCAAAAAGACACCAACCATTTTGGTTCCCAGCCATCCAGCTCCTAAGTAGTTTTTGGCCTTTGAGTTGGTTTAGTGGTTGTTTCCATAGTTGAACCCCCAAAAGCCCAGTAAGTCCCAAGAAGGATGACCCGGATTAATAAACCCCCTTTTATTATTAGGGTGGTTGCTCCAAAAGTGCGCCCACTAAAACTAGAGACACCCCCTTATTAATCAACCAGGAGTTTATAAATCCGCGGTTCCCATTACTTGGCTTCCCAAATCAAATCGACCTCTGACATTTTGGTTTTGCAATTTTGGGTTCATATTTTGTCAGGGTCCCAACAGGCTAACTTTTGATTTCAAGTCCTTTGGGCAGGTGAGAATATAGTAAATTCCAAGTGAGATGTAAATGTAAATATGTTTGTTTAATTAATGTACATGTATACAAATCTAATATTCATGGTTTGTGTAAATCTTCGACTTCAATTCAAAGTGAAATGCAGTATTTAACTTCCATATGCTGAAATCATATGTATATAGATACATATATATATATATATATTGCCCTTACCGGTTTTGAAGGTATTCTATCACTACTGGTTTGTTTGAGTTGTGACAGGGGGCTTTGCCTGGGGGGGGGGGTCCTCCAAAGCTAGTACTGTGTCAACATATGAATTCAAATCCGCTCGCCAAAGACCCCCCCAAAGCAAAGAAGCTAGTTCCCCACAGCACGTATATAGCCCTCAGATTGGAAGTGATATACTGTGCTTCCAGCAACCGCACCCCTTTGTGTGCTGCACGTTGTGCTTGGGAGCTCTGACATTCACCAAGACAAGTTGAGACTCACCAAGAGTCGATGCCAGCAAAGCCCATGGTTCGTCCGGTCAAAGCTGAGAAGGGTGGAGCTGAGCTAGAGCCTGTTTTGACTTGGCAAATCAGGTGGCACTAGGCATATATAACAATGATTGCTTGTTGATTTTCAAGAGACCTAGTCGTGGCTCGTGTCACTCGTTCTCCACACCTTGAGCTTGAGCAAATGAAGGAGAGCACACACGCATGATGGGCGTGTTTTTGAGGGCACTTTTTTTGGTTGCTTTATACGGCATCCAAAAGGGAAGCCAGCCATTCCGGTCCCCGTATTCACGCGGGAGCCGCTTGAGTTTCTCACACGTGTTCGGGAACGGGCCAGTCGGAGAGGAGGAAGGTTGCCTCTGAACCTGTCAGACGTTTGGCGGTGTTTTCACGGCCCTATGATGGCTTGACCCGCCGAAGCCCAACTTGTGCCTGGCGTTGTTTGCATTTATGTATTCAGGTTTTATTTTTGTATTTGTTTATTTATTAAACAACATGTAACCTTCTGCAGGAAATCAGGTAACCCTTAGTTTCCCTGGCCTTTGTAGGGGGTTAAATGGCAGCCACCCCGGAACACCCTCAAACGGGCTCCGAACCACCAACTAAAGCTGAGGAAAGCAGTTGGGAAGCGATTCTGTCTGCGCTGCAAAGTTGTTTAGCAGACCCCTGGCCCTCGCAGAAGCCCAACACACTTCTGGCCTGCTGGGAAGGAATCCTGACCAGGGTACATGAAAGACGGGGGTTGATTCATAGGTGTGGGCGAGTGAAAGTAGGTGGCACTCCCCAATCTGCAAGTCAGGCTTGTTTTGTTTTAAGAAAACAAACCAACTATGCGCCTTCTTTCACCCAACTGCAACGCAACTGGGCCCTATTTTGTCCTGACTTGCTGACATGTACAACAAAAAGAAGAGCTGTGTGAGCGAATGAAATGTATCTTGCTGGTGCTCAGTCAGTAGGGAATGAGGGAATGAACCTGGGGATCCCGTTCAGGGAAACCACCAGTTGGACGGTTTATAGGGATTATGTCATTTCTCATTCCCTGCATCTCTTGCACCAGCAAGTTCTTCATGGGTTTGACTCAAGAGGCCAGTCCCTTGAGCAAGTTAGGTGGAGCCGGAGGGTCAGGACGCAGCTTGGCTTTAGGGACAGGGCCGCTCGGTTTCTGGGTCACCAAATTTAGGGATAGATGTTTGCTATGGGAAAGGTTCCAGCCCTTTCTTTTACTCAAGACGGGTTCTCGGAAAACTCGGCCTTGGTTGGTTCCCCTATCCACCATGTACTCCCTGCAAAGTAGAATGGAACCCAAGAATGGTCCCCAAAACCGGTTGTGCGAGGGTTATCCAAAGCCACCTCAAAAGGCACCCAACCAGAAAGAGCGGATACAAAGTAGGCTGCAGAGGATCCCGAGTCCCATTGCAGGAACAAAGGCCCCCCCGGAAAGATTCGGCTAATTGCCTGTTGCATGGATTATATGGGTGTATTTATAACTAGAAGCATTGTTCTCCTACAATCGTCACTTGAATTGGTGTTATGGACGACCACTCCATCTGAGGTATTGACGCATATAGTACCTGTGTGAGTGTGTGTGTGTGTTGTTCTGCGAAGGGGTCAGCCTGTGGCGTGGTTTCGCTGCCATGTGTCTTTTGCTTGCTGGTGCGAGAGATGCAGGGAACGAGAAATGGCTCATGACCCAAAGAATTCAGCCATCCGACAGGTGGTTTCCTTTTTTCGGGGGACCAAAGCAAAAACAGTCCACCCAGAATTGGTGGGTTCCCTTTTTCGGGGGACCAAAACCAAAGTTCGTTCCCTGAGTGCCCACCTATCGCACTGATCGCACGTTTGAGTTGGCACGGTGGGACGGGCAGGTGGGTAGCGGGGTTTGCCCGCTGAGGCTGGAGAGGCGGAGGATCCGAAGCCCAAGTTTCAGGCGAACCTGGTGTGTGGCGTCTCGGCTTTAATCTAAGGTATTTGCTTGGCTGGGTGGCGGGGTGGGGGTGGGGGTGGGGGTGGGGGTGGGGGTGGGGGTGGGGGTGGGGGTGGGGGTGGGGGTGGGGGTGGGGGTGGGGGGTGGGGGTGGGGGGGGTGGGGGTGGGGTGGGGTGGGGTGGGGTGGGGTGGGGTGGGGTGGGGTGGGGTGGGGTGGGGGGGGGGTGGGGTGGGGTGGGGTGGGGTGGGGTGGGGTGGGGTGGGGTGGGGTGGGGTGGGGTGGGGTGGGGTGGGGTGGGGTGGGGTGGGGTGGGGTGGGGTGGGGTGGGGTGGGGTGGGGTGGGGTGGGGTGGGGTGGGGTGGGGTGGGGTGGGGTGGGGTGGGGTGGGGTGGGGTGGGGTGGGGTGGGGGGTGGTTCTTGCTTGGAACTTGTCCCTTGTGAGAACATGTGCATGTTTAAGAAGAACCGGACCGGACTTGTTGGACAGATGCGGTTATAGGGACGGTAAAACAAATGCAAATGAAACAGCCATGAAATCAAAGGACACTGCCCTTAATATTCGAAGCTTCACGCTCTTCTGGCTTTATTGTGTTTGTTGCATTGTTTTATGTGTTTGGAAGGTGTTGTTACTTTTCAGTAACCTGCAAGAGTTGTGCTGACATACCGACACTGCATTTCCCAAATTGTAAGTGAACCAGCCACGCAGCAAACGGCAAGGGCCCCCTTGCCATGTTTTGGGCATTTGAGTCAAGAGGGCTCGGGTTCCGGCCATGCGGAGCCACAAGTGAATGAGCCCCACCTAGGCCCCGAATGCCCTTGACTGCTAGCAGAAACATTTGGCTTCTGGCAGGCAATTCTTCTGACTAGCGCAACTTGTACCGAAGGAAACCAACTGAAGCCAGCCGTTGAACTGTGGTATCCCAAGTGTAGGACGGACCCAAAGTTTGCGCTGGGTGGTATCCCGAGTTTAGAACGCCAGGTTTGTACAATGTGGATCTTCATGTATGGCAACCCATGTTCAAGCAACCCAGACGCTCCTTGACCTTCTAGTGGAAGACTCGGCACCCAGATCCCTTTAGAGTCTGACTGTTTGAGGGCTCCAAATAACTCGGAAGCCACTGGGAAGGCTGAACAAAGATAGAACTGGGGACCTCATTCCCATGTTCTGTTCCTTTGATTTCTGTTGAGTCTTTGGAGGGATGATGCGTTTTTCGTTTTATTTATCCACCCGCTTATATAATACATGAGGCTTTAAGGTGACGCCTGAGGCATTTTCGACGAGCGGCCCTTCTTCCCCACAGTCCTTGTCTTGTCCACCCTGATTGGGGCTCTCTGCATGCTGACAGAGCAGCGGTCCATCATGGAAGACATGCAGCTCTGCTCAGAACGGGTTTGGTCAAAGGATGGATTTTGAAGTGGGTGTGGCTCAGAATTAAACGATCGGAGGGGTTGCGCAGGTTTTGGTCCATGTTTCCACTTACCAGGGCAACCCATTTTGGGACCGGTTTTTTCAGCCACAGCCAAGCAGGACATTTGGGCCACAAGTATCATTACCTGTTTTACAGGATCCAAATCCTTGTAAAGCGGCTGGTTTTTGACACCCTTTAAACAATGCTGAGTTTGGCAGCACTGGGTTCCATTGCGCTGAAGCGAAATCAATAGATAGTACAATCCTTAGCCCTTTGCACTTGTTTGGACCCCTGCCCAGGTCGGTCAGTAGGAAGGCTGTCCTTTGCCAGGCGTGCCCTCAATCCCAAAGGCGCTTGGCTACATTGTCCATTAGTTACCTTGGACCGGGCGGGTATGACCTGGGAAACGTTTCAAGAATAAACATTATGTCACGAAAGGTTTGCCAGCAAAGGGCGGTCATTGGCCAGAATAGTGTTTGTTCGGAACCTCGGAACCTCCCAATGAATTCCGTTTTTTGTTCCCCCTTGTTTGGCTTGAACGTTATGCGGCTTTTCTATTCCTCGTTTGCCTTTCGCCTTTGGGGCCGATTCTCTCTTCACTCCAATGTCCATAGGGCGAGCTAACCCCTGACACCTTCCTTTTGACCGCAACCTTTAGTTATGCCCAGACACGGAGCATGTAGATCAGTTCCGCAGAAAATAAGGGACTGGTTTTGCTCGCCTGTCCGGGCAGAAAAGCATCTTGCCGACGCTTTTCTGCTGTTAACAAGTCAGAAAATAGTATACAGCCGTTTTTTTTAAGTACCGTGGGGTCCGGAAATTGTGTTCATGGTTTCTCGCATGCGTCCCTTTAGCGTTCGTGCTCACAAAGCTTTGAGCGACCCCTTGAACGCAAACATGCCCCTTGGGGAACATCAAGTTAGACCAAACAGAGAAGCTGTCGTTTGGGTCGTAGCATGGTTTCCTAGGAGCAGTTCTATGAGTTTTGTCCCTATGGCAAACCCAAACACAAGTGGTCTTCCTTTTGTCCTGCAAGCACTCCCACTGCTTCCAATTGCCACGGTAGGGAACCTGAGGCTATACGTTACCCTACACTTTAACATGATGGTTTCCCCTGGCCACCGTTAGTGGTAGCAGGTTAACATGGAACCCCAAATCCATGTGTTTTTCCAGATGATCACCCCCACCCTCCTTCTTGGGTTCAATGTCAGCTTGCAGGAGAGGAAGCAGAGTCCCTCGAAGGGTACATTTTGGCCAGTCAAAAAGTCTTGCCTTTAAAGCTGATTTAGAGGATCCTTTTGCAAGGCAGGTGGTTTTTGGATGCATCCTTTAAGGAACCCTGGTAGGGGGCAGGTAAGATTTGGGCACCCCCCCCCTCCCCCACTTTTCCCCGCGAGCCGAGGTTTGGCTCCGCCTGGATCTTCACCCACTTCTTCATAGCCGCTATCTTGGGAAGTTGGTTGGAAGGGTTTGGTTGCCTTGCATCGTTTTTCCCACCGAAGAAAAAAACACAGATCGGATCTTGGAGGTTCGACCCTGCTGTACACTGAAAAGCGTTTGAGCTCATGGTTTCTCCCTTTTAAAAACCTGGTTTGAACCTACCAAAGTCCATTTTAAAGGAAAATGGTCTTCCAGGATCCCCCAGTCAGGTCATTGTGGGTTAATACAGGGATGCGAGTCTTCAGCATCACTCTTCCCATTTGCTTCACCCACAGCCTCGTGCTTGTGACAAGGTCCTTTCGTCCATGAATTGCAAACATGTGCTTGCAACACTGCAGGCGAATCACCCCCATATACCCCCTATCTTGCTTTGTTTGGGAGATGTTGATCCTTTTTGAAAGGCACCACCTCCTCCTTGCTGACTTCGCCAGGTTTACAAGTCCGAACGAAGAGTATCACAAACCTGCACCGCACATGGCACATATTTGCGGCGGAGCATCATTCGCTGCTGACGCAGAGGTGTAGGATTTTGACCCTGCCAATCACATCCAAGGTTCTTTATGCGGCGCCTTGGTTGCAATCACTGCTGAAGCCTGGAACGCACATCGAGGGCTACCAGAGTCACAGGTGGGTTGACCCTGCCCCGGCTGTGTTGTATCATAGGAGTTGGTTTTTTGACCGATAGAACTGGACAATGTACCTCAGGAAAGGAAGGAGGGCCCCCGTTTTTCAGAACCCTCGTAAAAAAGCTTGGTTCTGAACCTGTCCTGTCGAGGGTCTTTGGCTTCCTGCTTAAAGGGAGTTGCGCTTCCAACAAGTCTCATCACTCTTCTGGATGCTCAAGAGCACATAGTTTAATTTTCCCCTGGAAGTCAACACGAGAGGAAGCGTTGTTTTTCTAGGCCTGCTATTTAATTCCCAGTTACAAGGAGGTCGAGACAATCCAAGCAACCAGAGCTTCTGCATGACAGGCATTTTCTGAAGGTAGCAAGTAGCAGCAAAACCCGATGGCTTGCAGGGGTCGCTGGGTACATCTAAAGTTCCGTGCTTCCGCAAAGAATGGAATGTGGCGACCCTTGCCCCTTTGCCTATGAAGCAAGGGGAGTTGCCGTTTTCCCCTTGTTCGCCAGTTGCACTTTCGGGCATCAGCCGTATTGGGGCTTACTTTCACTATCACTCTTGTCCATTGCTCGCATACTTCCATGGCCCCCCCGCAGAGTTCAGACGTCTTGTCATGAGCTGTCCAAACCAACAAGCCGTAAATAAGATGAACCAAGCTGTGGAGGGTCCCTTCTGTGGGCTGTCAAGAAGCCAAGTTGTTCAATATATGTTTGGTTGGTTTCCCATTGGTCGGCCTTAAGCAGGGGATCCTTTTTCAACCAATGTCATACCGGCATAGTGGGCTGGGAATGGCAGAGCCCGGTAAATGCATGGAGCTCAGGTCACATTGACATGCTTGGCCTACTGCCTCCTGTGCGATCCAGGCCAGAGGGCGTGGTCATATCTACATATATATATATATATTTATACATATATATATATATATATGTGTGTGTATATATATATATCTATGTATATGTATAGTGAAGTGTTTGCGCCCGGTTGCTCTACGGAAGTACGGCGCATTTCTCAATTTCCAGAAAGTGACAGATGAGGCCTTGAGAGGAGCTCAGCAAGGGAGTACTTGGGGAGCAACCAGGGGGTGAGCGGGGGGATGCGAACCGGTTTGCATCGTTCGGGCCTAGCGGGTGCTAGGCCCGACAGGATCATTAAATTTCAGTCCCTTAAGGACTGCATTTGGTCGGTTGAACAGGTTCAGAAGATCCACTATGTGGCACGAGTCCCTGAACAAATGCGACTTATTTAGAACCTCACCCTCATGGACCCTCCAAACTTATCGATTGCACCCTTGGAGTATGACCCAGTATGGTCCCACCTAGCAGGCTTCTTCGAGATTACGCCAAATGTTGAAAGCTTACAAAGGGCTAACGAAAGAAGCAACAACGATCACAGTTTTCGGGACGAGCAAAAACACCCGGTGTGCTTGAAGAACCCCTGTTGGTGTGAACCCGAGCTGTAAGACCAAATGCCTAAGACTGCTCTGAACGCTACGAACGGACCCAAACTCTAAGCACGCCTTGCCTCGTGATAAAGCCTCCGCTGGCCCCCTTGTGCATTGCAGGGTTTTGCAACTCATCTACTGAGTCGCCGGGCCGGCGGATTCATGGCATTTTAGAACACTCAGCTGAAAGCGCATTGACCTCTTTCCGTTAGATTCCACATGGGTTTGTCTCAAAATAGGAGACCCACAAAATTGCAGGTTGCCCTTTGGGTGTTCTTTAAAACCACAAAAAAGGCTACCCCCAAACAAGACACCCACATGGGTTTGTGGTTCAATCTGGACCGCCCCATTGCTCATGTTGAGTTGAGTGTGTAGCAAGCTTAGTTTCCTTGGCCAAAGCGAGATAAGGGCTATTGGGTTATCTCCATGTGTGGGCTCACACACATTCTGAAGATTGCAGTGGGATCTTTCCGGGAAGGCCCATGTTACCAGGAGACCTTTTGCGTTTTCAAGCGGGCTGCAACCGTTGCTTTGTCGTGGAGATGCGTGCCGCGTTGTGGAAATGGCCGGTGAACACCAGGTGATTGGTTCTCAGTAAACAGGCTGGGACGCTGGGACGTTAACGCACACAGAACAGCTCATGCAAATGCTTTAGGGGCACCTTCTGCACCATCAAAGCGGAACTGGACATAGAAGTCTCCCTAGTTTGCGGCGAGCTCGCCTGGGGAAATACCAGCTCGCCGTGATGTAGGTCTTTTACTTGGCTTTGGAATCCTCGTAGACTTTGCAGACCTTTGAAGTCAAGTACCTATCAACGTGTTTTCTGAATCCATCCACTGAATTCATAAAGTTTTGCTCTTACCAGGGGCCCTTAGAGTCGGCACATTTATCGTCACTTAAAGCAAATCGCCTTCACCGATAGGGCAGATGGACCGGCAGCAACACGCGGAGATGCAGAAGGCGAATCTGCCAATCCCCCAGCGTGCCCATAAGGCCTGGCGCTTCGGCTGAGATACTCCGGTGGTTTCCGTGGGTGTGGCGGTTTGTTGGGGGGGAAGCAGACGGGGTGCATGAGGAAATCCAATGGATCACCGTTTTAGGGCTGAGGATTGGTGGGAGCCCAGGAATTGGCAATCTACTGTTGGTTTGCGGAGGGCATGGGGCGAGCACCCAAAGTGCGCACAACAACCTGGGGACCACACAATTTCCCAGTCTGGACTGGGGAATTATCCCAGCTGTTCCTTGGATTGAATCACAGTGCAAGACTTGGTTCCTGAGTTCCTGCACTTTAAACTTTTTGGGAGACCATTTGACTGGCAAATCAAAAGTCGGACTTGTTTGACCAATGCACTCAGGAGGTGAGCAGAGGGCGATTCTGGAACATGAAAGCATGTTTAACCTTACAGGTGAATAGTCAGGTCAACAGCCTGGGTGGTTGTAGGTTAGCCTTGTTGCACAAACCTTGGACTATCACTGTGACACTGTCGCATCTTGAGGGCTCAAGTATGAGCACTTGACCAGCAGTCTGAACAGCGGTGCCCCACCGCTTACCCATGGTGTGGCGGGGGAACGGGTGCCTCTTCGAGTGCCGTTCTCTGCATGCAGAAGTTTTCTGCTAAAACGGGTGGCCTGATCAGACGGCGAGTGACTTCAAGGAATGGCTGGAGGACGTTCAGTTAAACAACGTCAAAACGCTTCCAGTAGTTTGCGTTTACTGACACTTGGGAGGAACATTGAACAATAATTGGGGGAGTCCGCGGGCAAGGTTGGGCAACCTTTCATCAAGGCTGTCCAGCTGCCCTAAGCGGAACCTTTGGTTACACTACCTGAAAGGCAGCTTCCACTGGTCTTTCTGTTTTTAGGCGAACTCACCTGGAGGCAAAACGAGCTCAACATGATGTAGGCCCTATACATCAGGACTTCTTGCTCAGGTTTCGGATTATGCAATGTCGTTGAGATACATGGAGGCGCACACCTCCAGACAAAAGTTCATTTGGTCGTGGCTTTTTTGGGGTTGGTACCCTTTGTGGGGGGTTGGTTTCGAGGGACACCGAAAGGACACCACCCGTTTGGGATAGTCCTTGGCACACGCGTTTCCGGCCCAAGGCTGTACAAGAGACCCATCCGGCGCTTTGACCACTATTGCCGCTGGGTGACCAACGTGCCATTGGCTGCAAGGGAAGATGCGGATAGTAGCAATCAGTTACATGCCCAAGTGTGGCCCACCCCTTTCCTGGTTGAAATCCCCGAGTGCTAACTGTTTCTATTGGCTGGGTGTGCTAGCTGATGGTTACTCCGTATTCTGTGGGTTGAATTGGAGTTTGTGTCATAATAACCCGCCCTCCTTGGTTTCATCCAAAACGCCTAGAAAGACAGAATGTTTGAGGCCTTGGGAACCAGGAGAGGGCACTCCAACTACGAATCTTCAATCCTTCTGTCACCTTGCTAACCTTCATCACCAGGCAACAACATTTCTCCGTCTGGGTAGAAGGGAAAGAATGTATGTTGGGCGGGGCCACGTCTTTCTCAGATGAAATTTGTGACGTTCTGCGGTTTTCAGGCCGATCTACTCAATTCCCCTTTTCTGAGGCCTGTTGGTTGTTTGCCAGGCTTGCCTTTTTGTGGATTGGAATTGTCACGGCCGGGAAGCATTTCTCGTGTTTGAGTGTCAACATGCAAATGGAAGGAATTGATCAAGGTACTAACCAAATATATATATATATATATATATATTGATTTATTTATTTTTGGCCAGGGTGGCTTTAAGCATCATCTCTTGGACCATGTTTGAAGTACGTGTGCTTTCGATGGGTACTTCCTTGATTCCGATGTTATTCTTCGGGGAGGCTCCATGTTAACCTGCAGGAGGCACCCCTCTAAATGGTGGTTCAAAGGAACCAACCCCGAATTTGAGAACCCCCTACAAAACGCGGGATCGATCCGATTTGTGGACCTTCACCCCCCCCCCATAGGGGGGGGTGGGATGTCAGGTGATCGGCCTCAACAACCATCGCGAGTTCATGGCAACAGCCCCAGGTCCTGCCGTCGTGAGGTGGGCATGATTTTTGTGTGGCTGCGGTTCCCTTTTCACCTTGGTCAAAAATGGGGAACAAGGGTAAACACATGTCTGTGGGTTCCCCTATTCTTTAGCCCGCAAATATATTACACACATATTATATATATATATATACATATGTATATATACACATTTCCATTAGTGTATGTATATATATATATACCGCCCCTGAAAACCCGCCCCTGCTGCTCAGCAAGGGAAGTCAGGTCATTTTGGAGATGTTGCCAGAACTGGTCTCATTTCACAATGTTAAGACTTTGCCATTGATATGATGTTGCTATTTCAGTGCAGGTTGTTTGTGTTGCTTATTTTGATCATGTTTCATCATTCCACGCAGTCATGAACCAATTGTTGTTCCAACATAGTTTAATTTGAACATAGCATCATAATCAAAGTTAGATAACGTGTAAAAGCAAGAACATATGATACCACAATGGATCATACAAATTCTACAGTTTTCAACCGTGTCAGTCAACAGCAAAAGCGTTTGGGTTCCAATTGAAATTGACATAGTGATGTTATCTCATGTGTTTAATGTTAGACTGTGTCCAAAGCAAAACTGTTATCCTCACTCACTTGACTGTATAACATATTTGTAAGGGTACCAGCACAATGGGTATAGCAATAAAACAAACAACACCTGTGTTGCTTCTGCTTCGCCCACGCACCTTTGATTTCTCATTTCAGCTCATGTGCAAGCCCAGTTTTGCTATGCATTTTCCATCTCTCATCTCAACTCATCTTCGTTTGTCAGCTCACAACCCTTGGCCAGTACCAACAGGTCTGCTCACGACTTCTTTGCCTTGACCAACGCCGAGCTGTCTGCCAAAGAGACTTATTTCCTGGAGCAAACTATCTTCTGCGCAAAACCTGCTAAACAATCATGCAAGACGCTGGTATTTACAATACTTGTTTCCATATCCAGGGGCAGGTGTGGATTTCTTGAAGTCATCTCTTCAGGAATTAAGTCTCGAATGTCAACTATCAACTGTATTCACCGCCCACAAGTCCAAAAGGATGACAAGGTGCACCCCAAACAGGAATGACTGAAAGCAGACGCTTCAAAACACGTTAAAGCACTGTAAAGCAATTTTTGGCTCTAAGATTCAAGATTCCCATGAGCTACCTGGATAAAAGTGTGTTTCAGCATTTTGGGTGCCCCACGCTGGATTCATGATTCAAGATGTAGAGTCCTAGCAATCTTAATTCTTGGTTCCAAAAGCGCTGTAAAGCGGTTGCTTTCAGTTTCGAACCCTGGCAAAAAGAAACATGGGGCTCGAACAAGGTCTTTGTTGGAAAGTCTGGCTCGACTTTCAGATATTCCATGGAAGCTTCCCCATCCTATGTGTGGAGTGGCGGAAATCTGTCCGGTGTACCCCTCCATAGGCTCCAAGCTGGAGCATCGGAGGGTATGCTTGGTGCAATGTGTGTCTAGACGTTGCTTCTGTCTTTTTACCCTTTGGCTCTAGTGCAAGACAGACTCCCAGATGACAAGGCTGTCGACCAACATGTCGTAGTCGTTTAGTTGCACCTCTAAATGCCTTTTTGTTTGCTTCCGTGTCTACGAAAGAGGGTCAGCCCAAATGCAGTGTGCTCCTTTTCAACCAGTGTCGTGCAACCGGGCAGTTGCGCTCCAAGACAAACTCCCTTGGCGTGTCCGGTTCGCCAAGCTGACTCGAAGTTGTCTTGCATTTCATTTGCGCTCGGGCTCACAGTGTCCAACACATATCCGTACATTGCAGATTTTCACGTGTCAATTGTCAATTGCCCAAAGTTCGGACCTTGCTTTGGCGTGACAAGTTTGAGCCCGTTTGGAAACCAATGGCTGTTCAATGGCTTTTGCATTGTCACCCTACAACAGCATAGACCTTGTCCTTGAAGGGGACGAACAACCCAGTCCAAAGCTTTTGCAGAGCAAGTCCAATGTGACCGCCGGATCATGGCACATGGCCAGCAGCTTTGACTTCGATGAGTTGGAGCGCCTGGAGTCACAGGTGAACCAACATGCGCAGCCAAAGGATGAAGAGGAGGAGAGCTCAAAGGACCCAATGGTTTCCACCCACAAAACTGGTTACATAGTGGTGTATCCCAGACTGGGGGTGGTTGGTTGCCAACAAGCTGAATGCCACGCAGGATAGCGACACAGAGCCCATCCTCGATGGACTCTTTGACTACGACGTGCGCTGCACCGTGGCAAACGAGTCTGTCAAGGACTCAATGGATTACTCCACATCCGCTGCCACTTTCCCATGTTCCACCCAGACAGGTCCCAGTGCAATGGGTATTGCCGGTATTGGACTTGGCCGGACTGGAAACCTTGAAAACACCTCCAAATTTGCCTGCAGGTGTTGGCAAAGGTAACTCTGGGCATATTACTTGAAAACGGGGTTCACAAAATGTTACGCTGTTACGCTGTTGCTTCCCCGAGGGATTCCGAGGGGGTAGTGCGGTAGTCCTGTGACACGAAGCGAATCCCGACTCAACACAAACTAGACATGGGGGTTCGCCCACTTTGCTGGTAGGGGGTTGGTTTGTACAAAGCCACTCAGCCAAACCGTTTTTGTCTGACCCTTCTGGCTTCCCATGGTCCTTTGGTCCGCGCAGGACGTTCAGCTGCCTGCGCCTATTGCGCCCTCGGGCTTTGCGCCCGCCTTGGCGACGGAAAAGAAGGCGCCCGCCTCGGAAGGGGATCTGTGGCCCTTGGATTGCTTAGCTGTGACGCACTGAATGTTAACCCCGGATGAGTAAACCCCTGGTTGATGAATAGGGGGGGTGATCCCCTTTTAGTGGGGATTCAGACCACTTTTGGAGGGAACACCCCCCTAATAATGGGACGGGTTTATTCATCCTGGGTCAACATGATCATTCGGCACTGGTGAGCTAAAATGAGTCTGCGAGGCTGATGCCCTGCTAATTTGAGATAGCTGCCTTCCCACCAGTTTCTGGACTCGGAGAAACGTGTTTGTGAGAAAGAAGCAAAGCTTCGACTTAGTTTGAAGCGACCCACTCAGGAGATGACACACCCCGTTTCGGCACTCGCTTTCTCAAAGCAAATCGACCTCTTTCATGTGTGCTAGTTTCTTTCTCCGTTTGGTTTGTTTGTTTGCTTTTTTGTTTGTTTGTTTGTTTGTCTGTTTGTTTGTTTGTTTGTTTGTTTGCTTGTTTGTTTGTCTGTTTGTTTGTTTGCTTGTAGTTATAACCACCAACAAGACGTTTATTTCCAGGTCTTTTGGGCAAGTGAGAACTTCCACTTCTCCAGATCCAACATCCAACCTTTCCAGCGCTGTTGAGGACCCCTGGGGCGGACAAATGTTAACCCCGGATTAACAAACCCCTGGTTGATGAATACAGGGGTGTCCCCTTCTAGTGGGGATTCAGACCACTTTTGGAGGGAACACCCCCCTAATAATGGGACGGATTTCTAATCCTGGGTCAACATTATGTTCAAGAGCTCCCAAAGCTTCAACTTGAGCCTTCTTCGATTGGAGAGGACGGAAGTTGAAGTTCCAAACCACGTCTCCCCACTCGGATGTAGAGGCAAGCGGTGTGGCAGGCGTCTGCAGCCGAACTGCGGGAGCTGGGGAATCGCTGCTTCCGCGAAGGCAGCTTCCAGGACCTCGCCTTTGAAACCCCCGCATGGGGCATGTCCTTTCTTCGTGTTTGGAGGGTTTCCTTTAAGAATCGCCTGAATAGATAAGGCCCGCGCAAACAGTTTACGGGGATCCAGTAGAGAGAATAAGTAAATCAATTCGGGGATTAAATTTCCTTAATCGACCACCAAAAGAAGGTTACGTGGTTTTTGAAATCCGCGGTCTGGGCTTGGAACTGGCCCAAAGACATCTGGGCATAATACCGTTTTTGCCGCTTCCCAAAAACCGGAGAGTCAAGAGGCATGAGTTTCGCATTCATGCGTTCCTCAACATCCCCCCCTTTCGGTTGATACTTCAAATCAAAGGAAAAAGCGGAAGAAACTCTGCACGTTTCACGGGTCCCCCTAGGAGGCGGAGCAGCAGTACACAGCTGCGCTGGTTCAGGACAAAGGGCCGAAAAGTGCTGCAAGCTTCGTCCTTGGTCTCGGGTTGGAAGTGACGTGAAACTTGGTAGCCCTGAGCTCCTGGACTTTAAGAGAAAGCAACTTCATTGGCAACGCAACCAACATGTTTGGACTTGCTTTGGCCAATCCGTTTAGAAAGTGAGTGCCAGGTGGGTTGCTTTTTTGTGAAGAGGTCCTGCCACTTGTTTTCAGAAGGACGGCCTGAACACGTGCTTGCAACCAGGTAGGACCAAACAAAGACTGGCTTTGAGCGCTGTGTTCAGTGCAAGAAATGGCCAGCCCCAGAGCCCTTCAAAAAAGTCAAGTGACACTGTGGAATCTTCCCCTGAAGAGGGAGCATTTTTTTTGGTCTTGAACAGTGGCCAGAGCGGCAACCCTTGAGGCAACCCTAGTCTGACATTTTCTAATGAATGATGAGCTTTATGTTTCTATGGGCATGGCTTATATAACTTGTTCCTGGCAAAGTGTTTTAGTTGTTGTTTTCTTGTTGTTTTTGTTGGTTCTCTTCATTTGTCGAAATTAGTTGCTACCATGCCAAGGGTTGTGAAGTAGAGCCCCATTTGGTGCAGGCTGGGGAGGCGCCCAGCCCGCGGCTCTTCTCCAACCGCGCAGCGGCGAGGCTGCGCTTGGGCAGCTGGGAAGAAGCGCTGCAGGACATCATGGAGGCGCGAAACCATCGCGAAGCCGAGGGCGCCTAGGCGTCCTTGGTTGGTTTGGCTTAAACGAAAAGAGGGCCCTGGTTTAGATGGGGCTTCTTCCATTTACCAGGGCCAGCTTTTTTCCAAAAGGCCACCTTTGCGAGGGCGTCTCGGGCCTTGGAACCCATCGATCCTGGCTGGCCGCTCATTTCTTGGAGGGGTCTGGCAATGCTGGGTTTGATTGGTTCCACTCAAGCCACTTAGGCCTTGAATGGGCTAATTGATGCTACTTGCTTTGTTGTCCAGCGAAGTCTAACGGATCAATGAGCAGTTGGGAAGTGGATCCTCTCCACTCAAGCCACTCAGGGCTGTTTATGGGCCAATTGCTGTTTTTATTTTGCCTTTTTCCGCGGTCTTACCCAAATTTGCCCTGGAAACCCTTTTCGGCGACTGTTGGGACGCGCTGGTTTCGTAGAAAGCCGGGGGTGTCTCACGTTTGGTTTCGATGCAGGCCGCCAAGCGCGACCCACAAAACCCCAAAGTGCTGGACCGCTTTGCCCGGTGCCTGCTGCTGACCAACCGCCTCGCGGAGGGCGTCCACATTTGCAGCTGGGAGAAGGAAACGGCTGTCTCACAATATATAGCAGACCCCCAAACAGTGTGGTTTCATAGAAATGGAAAAGGAAACCATCCATTTTTAGCAGTCTCCTTTTTTGAGAAACACATTTTTTCCCCATGTTGGTTGTAAAGGCACCTATCGCAGCTTCTATGACACAAAAAAAACACATGCGCGTGTCTAAGAATAGGAGCCCTTACAGTGGTGGTTTTCCCTTTGGTTTCTCTTTCCAAGCAGCCTGAAAAGGGTAACCTTCTTTCAGACCAGCCTGAAAAATGGTAATTTCAAAAAAGACACTCAAATCTCGCTAATCATCAACACATGCGTTTGGATGTATGTAGGTCCGCGCCAGGTTACAAGAGGACATTTCATGTTTGGTTGAGCTGGATACCAAATTTGACCAATTTTTGGTTTTTCCCAAATTCAAACGGGGATGGATAGTTTTTGCATTTTTCCAGGCCCGTAGTTTGATCCCTCGTTTTGGTTGCAGGTGGTTGTGGTTGCGATTTAGGCAAGAAGCGGCGTGCCAGCTTGACGGAGCAGCAGAAGAGCAGTGAGGAGTGGAGGCTTTGCTTTTTTTTTGTATATTTTTGTTGGGGGGGTTGGTATGTGTGTGTGTGTGTGTGTGTGTGTGTGTTTTTTTTGACTTTTTGTGTGTGTGTGTGTTTATTTTTGGTTTGTTAGTTTTTCCTATTCGGTGTTCCAAAGTTTGTCGGTCTCGTTTCCGTGTTCCAGGTTCCCATGTCGAGTCTTGTTTCCCTCTATGGTTGCATTGGTCTCGTTTCGGTATTTCATGGTCGCATAAATTGGTCTCGTTCCGATGTTCCATGTTGTTCAGTTTCCCCTGAAAGGACATCAATACAGTGGATGGACAAATTCCTGCACCACTTTGCAACCATGGTTGAAACCATTGTTTGCTGGTATTTACAGTGGAATCATCAGAAACCCGGTTTTGTCAGGTGGTGTGGAAGAGGACAGTAGGGGATGGCTGGGTTGTTCTATTCCAGACCTGTTTGGGTCTGCCCTTTTTTGGGGGGTTCCCAACAATGGTGCTTGTACTTTTGGTGTCCCTTTCAATCCATCCAAAGAAGACAGCCCCCCAACAAACAGACAGTTCAGTTTACCTAAAAAGAGACACACATAACCAAAACCCAAAAAACAGTTCTTGATTGAAACAGGACACCCCCCCCCCCCCCGACTTCGCGGCCCGGTGAGTCTTGATTTTTTTTGCGGCCGAGGAAGCCCTTCATGGCTCTGTCCAGCCGCCTGAGCCACTTGCAGAGGTTTCGATGTGTGGCAACACCTTTGGTTGATGGAACTGTTCACAGTCTCCAAGGATGGAACCTCCAAAACCATGATTTTTAGAGGAGTCTCCAAGTGTTAATACCTCCCAAGCCACATTTTTTCGAAGAAATCTCCAATTTTTGGAACGCATTTTGGAGTGCCTGGTTTGGAGCGGCTCCAGGCTCGGGCCCAGAAGGGTTCCTGAGGCCACCACGCGGGCGCGTTGCACGAGATGGAGGCCATCCTCGCGGCAGGCGACAAGTCGGCCGGAGCTGCGAAGGCCGTGGCCGACGCCGCGGCCATTGCGCACGGCTGCGGGTCGATGCTGCAGCTGCTGAGCCCGCTGGACGCCTGGGGAAAGACTTAGATTTTGGTTTCTTGGTGGCTCCCAGCCATCCGGTTCCTGATCTTTTTAGATCCTTTGAGTGTTAGTGGTAGTTTCTATGTAACCCACTAAAAGTTTAACCTTTTGCGGGGGATCTGAGGGCAGCCCAAGTTTGTTAAGCCGAAGCTTGGTCAGAGCGGTAGAATAAAAATCAGGACCTAGGACCTGACGCCAAATTCTGTGTGCACACTTTGGGCGCGGTTGTTTGCAGGATTCCCCAGAGGTGGTCCTTCTCAAGGTGAGTCTTGGAGTGATAGTACCACCCAAGAATCACTAGTTTCTGATGATTCCCCTGTAATTGCCAACCAGCACTGGTTTCAACCATGGTTTCGAAGTGGTATGATATGATGCCCTGTAAGTACCAACGAACAATGGGTTCCCATGGTGTCTTGGGTGGTGCGAAATGGATTTCGTCCATCCACAGCAGTCACAGGGGGACACGCGAGGAGTGCCGTTCGCCCGTCGGGGTGCGGCTGCGCTTTGCCCAGCTCCGGGCCTATCTGCTGCCCATCGGGGAGTTTGCAGAGCGCCAGGCGCGCCTTCGACCGAAAACCACGGAGCTTGCGTTTGGGTGAGACGTCACCTTAATGTTGACCTCGGGTTAAGCAGAACCCCTGGTTGATTTATAGGGAAAGTGTCCCCTTTTAGTGGGGAATCATCACTTTGGGAGGGAACACCCAGCTAATAATGGGACGGGTTTATTAATCCCGCTTGATCCTGGGTCAGCATTAGGCGATTTGGCCATGGGTCTAAACCCGGTTGCGCCCCGGCCCCAGTGAACATCCCGATCCCCACTCAAATCGGTTCTTCATGGGTGGTGAACCTATTCCAAAATGGGATCCCATTGGTTTTGAACCATGGCCATCTGAAATAGTGGTTTGGAGGTTAGGAGCTGTGTACCCTCTACAAGAACCGGGGTGCTTTTCAGTACCGTGGCTTTGCTGTTTCTGGCGAAGATTCTGGTGAGCTATTCTCCCATTACGAGGTTCCTCACTTGGGGCTGCCAGCTTGAAACATGTATTGTGGCAAAGCCGGAAGGGTAGGTGCACAGCTGGAGTCCAACCAGTTGGATGCCAAGTGCTGTTTCGCGCTGTGGTGGATTGTGTGTGTGTGTGTGGGTTAACTTATGTAGTCTGCCGGCATGTTACGAAAACCAATGCTGCTTGTGTATTTTCCTTATCAACGTGTTGGCAGGCCTTTGCTTGCTCGCTGCCTGGGCTCGGTTTGGCTTGGCTTGCCTCGGCTTGTTTGCCCTGCAATTGAACATGGAACCCAAAACCCTCATTTTTGGGAGGAATCTCCTTTTAAGAGACCTGTTCGTGGGTCCCATGCTAGTTTCTGGCAACCCTCAGTTAGTGGATTGGATTGGGGGGCTCTTGAGGGTAAATGAGACCCCCCCCCTTCCTTAACCCACCGGGCTCCAAACCACCAATTAGTGGGAATCTGTTTTCCTTAGCGTTTTAGCCCTTTAAAATAGCTTTTTTGGCTTTTGTGGGGGTTTCCATTTGAGCCACCAAACACTATTCACTTTTAGCAGGGGGTCTGAGCACAGACCAGGTTTGGGGAGCGCCTGGCCGGCCAGTCGCCGCGCACAGGACTGGGCGACCAAAGCGCTGGGCATCACCGACTCGCTGCTGGCAGAGGCCCCCGGCCGTGAGCCACTGCACCCAAGGGCGTTGCACTTGCTTTTATCCTTTTGGCCGGGGTTACCGCTAAAATCACCAAAACAAAAAAGATTGTCACCTACCAACAAAGGGCTGCCCCCTTAGCGTTTTACAACGTTGCTTTGTTTTTCTGTTTCTCCTGGGGTTTGGAATCAAGACCTGGGTAAGTGAAACGAGAATCCCGGCCAGAGGGTCAGGTCACCGCTTTGGCTAGATTTTGAGAGAGCCCGTCGCACAACGGACTCTGACTGTGGCGAATTCGCTTTACTTTTTGCGGCAGGCGGGCAACAAAAAGCTTTCTGCTTTCTGGTGGGCCACGGTGAAAAGGGCAGGAAAAGGAGCTGGTTCGTATGGATCTCGAACTAGGGAGCTGCCCTTCTTTTGGATTTGAACAGAATCTATCGCGACTCCAGGAAGATTGGGCAACTCATAGCTATTTAAATCTACCAGGGGGCGTTGTTGTTGCCTCACTTGCATGCATTCATTTGTTTTGTGTTCAGCGGTGCTTTTTGTTCCTTTTGTGTTTAGTGGCTCCTCTACTTTCTACCAGGATCACTGGGCAACTTGGAATATGTAGATCATCCGCAGGATGGGAGGACTGGCACTGGAGGTCTGCGTTTTTTTTTGGCGAGGGGAATGCAAGCTCAGTGGTGGTCCAACTCTTATTTCAGGTTTGGGAACTGTAAACCCCCGCAAACCACTACCCTTTGCCCCCCCAATCCGCTACCCAGTGAAATCAGGGAGTAGATGGGTGTATCCTTTTGAGGGTGGTAGTACCTTGGTTTGGGCTGTTTTAGAACCAAGAGCAACCCGTGCCCACTTGTTTCCAGTTGGTTTCCCCTTGGACCATCCACAATGTAGGTCCGCCTTGAGAAAATCCCAAAGGGAACGGGAGGAAACGGCCCTCATGAGTTTTACCATGCTCGAAGTCACCCCCTAAGTGGGTTAACCCCATTTTCTGACTTTGAACCAGCAACCCCATTTTCTGCCTGACCAGCCTCAGAAACAATCAACATCATAAGACTGGGAGCCTTCATTTTCTCACTTCCCTCAGAACCCGTCCAACTCATCACCCCAGACATGCGGAGGCGCCTCGAAGAAAACAATCACAAACACGATTCCGCGAGGACCCGCAGTGGCCGGACTCCCACCACTGGCGGGGCCACTGCTTGGCGCGCCTGGGACGGCGCCAGGCGCATGATGTGTTTTAAATCCAGAAAGCTTTAGTGGGCTTAGTGGTAGTTTCCGAATTTAACCCACAAGTTATTCACTTGTAGCAGGGGATTTGAGGGCGCAGGTACGCAAAAAGGAACCTACAGGGGGAATAAAGTTCAATGAAATCCGGAAAAAGCTTCCAGATGTGCATGCCCAGCCTCCGAAGTCAAAAAGGGCATGTCCTTCTTCTCCAACAATCCTTTGGCTGAGAATGGGCAATTTTGGTTGATGGTTCTACTTGATGAGAATAAACAGCGTTTCCTTTGTCCTGTTCTTTCGGAGGGTGTTTTTTGCTTAAAATGAACCAACGAAAAAGGAGTGCCAATTCTCTGTTGTTCCCATAGGAGCCCTACCAGCTCTGTTCCCCAAAGGGTTAGGGCTGACAATGACTCCCAAAGCAGGTCATGGGGTTGGAGAAAGAGGGCACCAACGCCCTGCAAAACACACATTCACTTGTAGAGGAGTCTCAGTAGGGGTCCCCCCCTTTTTGGGCAACCCATGTGAATTTGTAGGTGCTAGGTTTAAACCTATACTATTTGAGCAACCTTTTTGGTCCCTGGTGGGAACCAACTCGCCTTGCCACACCCCAGGACAGGGATCGTGCATGCTGAAGGACCCTTCCCACAAATTCCCAGATTGTAGGTATAATAATTCCAGACCTCCAGTTGTGCCTTTTTTCCCTTTCTTGGTTGTTGTTGGGAAACACTTTACATTTTTGCTTATTGTGGTTTAGTGGGAAATACTGCCCACTTAACTGCTGTTTTTTTGCTCCCTTTCCAACGTCAACCAAGCTTTCTGTTGGGCGTCCCTTTGAAACCGGGTTGCGGGATCACTTGGGGTTTATCCCCACTTGTCACCTGTGCGATACTTTCGGGAATCTCCGCTGGCTGGGGACTTGTCGCCATGTGCATTCGCCCTATTTCCAGGCGCTCTGTTGACTATACACATTCGTTGGGTTAGACTTAAGCGCTCACAAAAAAGCAGCAACTGGTGGCAACTCACAAGAGTGATCACCTCTTTTCAGGGTCTACACATGTTCAGAGACGAAGAATTGTAGAGGTTGAGGCTCCTTGAACAGCTAGCGCTTCCTTGGTGATGAAAAGGGCTGTGATTGATGCCCAAGCTTAAAAGGGAAACTACCCTCCAACCAATTAACATGTAATCTGACAGGGGGTTCCTTCAAAAGGAACATGGTCTTCCAGGACCCCCCTGTCAGCTTCCATGTTAATTGGCGGGAGGGTATGAAAATCCCACAAAACAAGCGATTTGGTTGGGCCCCATGTGGCCGTGGGTCAAAACCGATGGTACCATTTTGGGGTAGGTGAATTCACCACCCATTTTAGTCTATAGTGGGGATTGGGATGTTCACTGGGTGTACGATTTGGGTTTTGGCCCATAGCCATGTTGGACACGCCGTCGGCTCGTCCGTCGGCTTGCCAGGAGGCCCGCCAGGCCTTGCGGCGCGCCCAGCTGTGTGCCGAGCAGAAGGGCGGCCGCCACGACCTCACGGAGGCGCCTTCTTGGCGACGCTGTTCGTTGGCAATGTTTTTGCTGCAGAAGCTTCGGTTTTTTTCTATTGGTACCGTCCGCATTCCAGGGATCCTTCTTTCTAGAAAACCTCCGGAAACCCAGGGAATCCGGCGGATTTTGAAAGGGAAACAAAAAAACGATGATTGAAAAGAATGGGGAATGAGCCCCTAGTCTTTTTTCGTCAGACCGGAGGTGATTGCCATCATGTTTCTGTTTTTGTTTATGTTTGTTCTTTTATTGTTTCCCGCAGTCATGGGCCGAAATAGGCGAGCAGGGGTGGTTTGGGCTAGCTTTTAGGGAGGGTCACCATGAGTGTTCCAGGGGGTTGCGGGACTGTTAAAAATACCCCCTGGCCATATTTTTGTAAGATGTGGGAGTTCCTTTTCAAAACAACGTGCCGAGAAAGGACACCGAGTTGTTTGCAGTGTCTTAAGCCAGCTCAACTATTTGTGCAGGTTTCAGCTGTAAACCTTTTTGTTTGGAGGAAGCTTTCTACTGGAATCGACCTTGTGAAAATGAGAGCAAGATGCTGTTCAGGCTCTTTTGCCGGCATTTGCTGGAACAAACGATTTGTAGCAGGCCACGTGGCAGGGAAGCCTCACGATGGGTATCCAACACGCGCACATGAGAGCCCATTGCATGCCGACTTGTTTGGCAAACCCTGGAAACGCACATCAAACGGGTCAAAGACAAATATTTGTTTCCTAGGATTGCGGAGAAGAGAGGTGCTCCGGCTTGGTGCTTTTGTTTTATGGAATCTTAGTCGGACACAAACAGACAAACAAACAAACAAATAGACAAGCAGATAAGCAAGCAAACGATGTTATTCAAAAGACGCGGACCATTTGGACGGCCCTTTGCCTCTTTTGCGCGCCCATAACTTACCCCCCTCCGTTGCTTTGAACCGGCCGCTCCGCTGTTCAGGACCTGCTGGATCAGATGAGGATCATCGATCAGCAGAAAGAGCTGCCCAGATGGTCAGAGATGCGCTTTCTTTGCGGGTTATGTGTTAATGGACGGCGTCCATGTAAAGCTGAAAGCTAAACATTCAGGCTTTAGCTGGCCCAATTTCCTTTCCCACACGAATTATTGATACATAATGTGTTTTTTTTGGAACATATTGATTAATAGGGTATTAGAGGGTCCCGAGGCGAAAGTCAAAATATAACTTACACTTGAGTGTAGAAGTGATGAACGTACCCCGAATAAGGGCTGTCTTCAGCATAACTAAAAGTAATGGGGGGGCGATGTGGGTGACATTTAAATAGAGTTTGGCGAGAAAAACACATGTCTATTAGTAGGGGTGGATTTACAGGGGAGCGGAGAACCATTGCTCACACAGCTTTCCCTTTCACCTCGACCTAGTTGGTGGAGGCTCACGATACAGGAATCAACCCTATGAGCCCCCTTGTTCTGTTCGGGTCACAGCCTCTTTTGGTCTCCCCAGTCTCAGAGGACCCGCCCCCTTTTTCGCCTCCCCTCACAATTTTGCTTTCAAGTGGGGCCCTTTTTCCCTTTTCTCGAAGAGGACTCCCTTCAAAACCAAGCACCCAAACAGGGTGCCCCCTTGTTTTGGGACTCCACCCGCGAGGCTCCGTGTTTTTCCTTTCCGGGCCAAAAAACAGCAAACCTTTTCGGCGGCGAAAGAGAAACCAAGAGGCGACTCCCGAGGCTGGGCAACGAGGCGTACCAGCGCCAGGACTGGGCCGTGGCCAAAGATTGCTACGACCAGGCCATCGCCGCAGATGCCACGCCCGGGCCCCGGGCCCCGGGCTTGGGAGCGGAAAGGACGAGTCAGACTCGCCCGGGTTGGAGGTCTGCTTGCTTCTCAGCAGTGAATGAGAGAATTACACCCAGAAACCCTTTCCTATTGTTTTCCTTAAGGGAATCCCTAAGTTCATTCCCAAACCCGGAAGGGCATCCCCTGCTGAGCACCAGCAAGTTTTGGGGGTGGTCTCAAAAGGGTAGCCTTTGCTGACTTCTCCCAGCAAGAGTGAGTATCTACCTCCGCCTTTCCCACAGCGAAGAACTTATGTGGCATTCCATTCATGGGTACGTCCTGAAATATGGGAGCCAAAAAATGGTGGTCCCTTACCCTCAGCAACTCTCAACAGGGTACCCTCGAACAACGACACCCATGTAGCGTGAACCATAGCTGCCCGAGTGACTCTTGATGCTTTGAGTACTTGGTAAGCAACTGGTTCGGTTTTTCTCGTGGCACATCTCAAGAAAGCTCCAAGGGCAACTTCAAGCAGACTCGAGGACGAGACCCCACTCCTCACGCAATGGGCAACCCCCGAATGGAGAAAGATTGCCAAAACCATAAGGGTACCCTTTTTAGTGGTATTGAAGGAAAGCCAAAAGGAAAACCGACACCACCCCTAAAAAGAGGCACACCGAGATGAAGGAACCCTGTGTTTTTGTTTACTCACTGGGCCATTCGGCACACCCAAGGCGCATGGACGTTCAGCTTTCTGCTCAGCTTCACAGCAACCGCGCGGCGGTTCTGGCGCGTCAAGGTGCGGACTCCGATTTCTCCGCACTGAGACCGGGCCACTTACAGGGGCAGGGTACTTAGCAATAAGGGCGAGCACAATGTGTGTACTTAGCCCCTGATGATTTGTTTGTTTTGCAGTACGGCGCGTACTTTACGGGGCATGGTACGTAGTAAGTGGCTAGTAAGCTGGTTATAACCCACAAACACCATGGTTATTGTAGTTTGTAACGTGATGCATTTATCAACCATGTAAAACCCCAATGCATGAATGTCTCACTTGCGCAGTCTCATCATTACGACTGCGTATGGCTCAAGGAAAAAGCGCGCTGAGTACAGGGTTCATTTGTGACCCTTCCCGGTTGTTTAACCTGTTCTACAGGTTATCAGCCGTAAGCGGCTCTTTGTACAGAGTTGTCGCCATGGATGGCGACCCTGGACTACCCCATACCGAGGTGCGTCCCACACCTGATGAGCCAGCAGGCGATGAAGACGCCTCGCAATATGAACCGACTAGTCGAGCAAACTCCCAAGTGGCCAGGGAGCTCATCAGGAAGGGACAGGCACTGAGCAGTCAGGGCCCCGAATCACTTCGATCTCGGAGTGACCGTGGGAGGACTGGGCGGTCTGGTGCTCGATCTCCTTCACCTGTTGGATCAGATCGGCATCGGCATGGTGACATCGTCATGTACGACCCCCAGACCGATCTCGCAAGGGGAAACCCTATGCCACAATCCATGAATCAGTTCAACCAACATGTTGCAAACGTCCACCTCGATCCTTCGATGACGATCAACCAGGACGTGACGAACTATCAGCAGATCAACGCTACCCAGAACAATGCCCAATTCAACCAGTTCGTGAATCAGGACACCGGTCCCATGGTCGCCCAGATGGCGGAGGCAAGGCATGGTGAGATTATTGCCGGACTTCAAAGCCAATCGGAGGCCATGAGACGCGAGATGCAAATGAATGCGGAGCAGCGTGTGAACACCATGAAATCGGAAAGAGAAGCCGAGATGAAGTACCAAAACGCCATGAACACGATCAGCGAGCAGGAGAAGCAGATCAGGGAGCTAAGGGCTATGGTCGAGCAGATGATGCAAAATCAGCAGCAACCGCCTGCTCAACCTGCTCCAGCCCCTGCGCCTCCCGTTCAGCAGGCACCAGCTAACCCCTTGGCTATCCCGACCGTTCCTTTGGCTGCATCTCCACCCGGACTTTCGAATGCTTCCTGGCACAGTTGGACGAAGGTCGGGAGCGACCCCTACGGCAAAGACGGATCCGTTCCCGCCGGGGCCGTGGACGATGCTGCTACCGGAGACGGTTGGCCTTGCGATGACGGTGATGGTGGAAATGACAAGGACAAGAAAAAGAAGAAGAAGAAGAAAAAGAAGAAGGACCGTAGCCGACGCCGGCGACGAGATCCATCATCTTCTCCCTCGTCATCTTCGTCATCAACTTCTACTGCATCGGATGAATCCTTTCGACGAAAGCTACTGAAGCACTTAGGTAATTCGAGCGATCCGACAGCGGAACGCGTTCGTGTAAAGGAGGGTGACAGAATTCAGATTCCCCGATTCCCGAAGCCCGAACAGTACCGTAATTGGAGGATCAAAGTTAGGGATGCTGTTGTTGCTACTTCCGACCAACCCGAAAAGGCATTTGAGTGGATTGAGGCAACTTGGATCCCAGATCAAACTGTTGAAGTCCTTCGTGATTCAGGAATGTTTGTCCATCTTGATGCAAAGCTGGCATCGGCGTTGACGAATATCTTGGAGGGCGACCTCGCGCGGCAAGTCGACATTTTCAATGAACAAGAAGCAAAGGAGAAACGCTACGCGAGGGGGCGCCAAATTCTTTTGATGATTCACAAGCACTTCAGCACGAACATCAAACATGGTGCAATTTACGACTTTGAGGACTTGCTCTCTGTCCAGCTCATCAACGAGGACCTCAAGAACTTCATGACAAGATGGGACACGGTCATCGCTGGAATGGGCAATGAGCAGAATGAGAAGACCCTTGCGCTGTTCCACCGCCAGATTCGAAAGTTTCGGCCTCTCAGTCATGATCTCAATGAGTATGAGCGGGCTGAGGAAGGGACGGAAAAGCACTCCTATAAATTCCTGATTGACGCATCGAGGAATTATTTGGAGCGTAAGAGGCTTGTTCACATGCGGGATGCTATGTCAAGCAACACAACTGGACGTGGCAGGACTCCATCGAACAACCCTGCAGTTCCTGGAATCCCCAAGGGTGTATGTGTGAAATTTCAAACTGGCCAGTGCACCTATGGTTCAGACTGCCGATTCGAACATGTTAAGGCACCGAAAGGTAAGGGGAAAGGCAAGAAGGGCGGATCTAGACCCCAGACGCCAAGGAAGTAGCGTTCGCAGAGTCCTCCTGGTTCGAAGCCCCAGGTGTGCAAGTTCTTCAAAGCGAACAGATGTGAGAGAGGGAAAGATTGCCCATGGCAGCACCCCGCAACTTCCAAGGCAGCTCCAGCCCCAAAGGCCGAGAAGACCACTAGTGGAGACACCCCCAAGACATCGCCGAGAGAGAAAAAGAAGAAGAAGAAGGGAAGCAGGCCTTCTTCTCAAGATTCGAAAGACTCGAAGGGTTCTCAGTCCCTCAAGTCTCCGCGTGCTGCGGTGTGCCTCCTCCAGGCGATGGTGTGCGCCGCGACCCTCGACTCGGTCGCCTCGCATCCTTGCCTGCCTAGTGTGACTCACGATGTTTTCCAGAGTATGCCATGTATCAAGAAGTGCGTGCAATTCTCTGATTACCCATCTATTTCGAACTATGAGACTGACGGCGAGCTTTGGCCCTACACTGCCTCGTCGAGAAGGTTTGCGCACGAGTTTCCTGTTGATTATGTTCCGAAGTTCGATGAGACAGCTGTCTCTGACGCAACTCTTATCGGCACCATGCATGAAGCTATGATGAAGGATTTGCTCAAAGGCACGAAGACTCCTTGCAAATTTCAATGCGACTCTGATTTCGGCTGTGATTCCTGCATCCCCGCAGGCCTAACGGCCGAGCCAGAGAAGCCCGAGACCTCCCCCAAAAAGGGGAAAGCTGCTGTTGCTCGTATGACAATGGATTCTTCTCACATTCCGTGGATCGCGGATACAGGAGCTTCCCAGGATTTGCTGTCGGGAACCGATGCGGAGGTGGGGTGTATTTACGAATCGTCTCAACCTCTGAAATTTTCCACAGCCAATGGGAATATTATCGGTACCAAGCAGGCCAGGGTCAAGATCCAACAGACCGATAGTGTTGTTCGGCCATATGTTCTTGACAAGGCTCCATCCGTGTTATCCGTGGGTATGAGATGCCTCAGGGACGGATATGATTTCGTTTGGAGAGCCCACAGCAGACCTTATTTCCGACTTCCGGATGGTACACGTATCAAGCTCGAGGTCAAAGACAATGTTCCATTCATTCCCCCAGCAACTCAGAATGCTGTTCCAGCTTTGTCACAGAGCATTCCAAAGGTTACATCATTACCATCAGCTCCCATCGAAATTGAGGATGAAATTCTAGTCATTGACGAGGAACCAGAAGCTGTTGAAGAGGTGCTTGTGACCAATGAGGATGATGGGGATGAATTGGGGAACGATGATTTCTTGCTTGAGGACACCATTAGCCAACCGGAAGGTGGGGTCATTGAAGAGTACCATGACATTCCCTCCGAAGATGCGCCTAAGGTCATCGCTTCCGATTTTGTGTCTAAGCCTATTTTGAAGGACGCCCCTCGCGAACGCGGTGAAGCAGCTTTGCGTGATGAGGCGACCTCACTCCAGCACTTGATGTGTCACACTCCCAAGAACCCCTTTTGCGAGACTTGTAACAGGGCGAAGATGTACAAATATCCATCAAAACAAAAGGGAGGTTCCACTCAAGTCGAGGCCAAGAAGTTTGGTGATCACCTTACGGCGGACCATCTTATCACATCAGATGATCGTGAAATCGGCATTGATCAATCTAGGGTTGCACTTGTGGTTCGAGATGTTGCCACTGATTTCCGTTATGTTTACCCAGCAGCACGGAAAACCTCTCATCAATGTGTGATGGCATTCAAGCACTTTGTCCGCACCGGGGAAACCGTGAACGTGTTTTACAGTGATCGGGCTCCTGAACTTGTGAAAGCGGCGGATCAATTGGAATGGAAGCATGTTCAAAGTACCAACTACATTTCCAAAACTAATGCTATTGCTGAGAGGAACGTCAGGGCGATTATCGAGGGCACGAGGACCAACCTGGAACAAGCTGGTTTGCATCATTCGTATTGGCCACATGCGGCCAAACACTATTGCATGGCGCATAACATCACGGACCACCCAGATTATCATTCACCATGGAAGGTACGTTTTGGAGAAGATTTTCCCGGACCATATTTGCCCTTTGGTTGTCAAGTCAACTTTTGGACTGGCCCGAGGAATCGACCCAACAAGCCTTTGAAGTTTGAACCTACTTCCAGGGCTGGAATATTTCTGGGGTATCCCATCCATCCTGACTTTCTTTGGCGTCACGAATTTCTCGTTGTTCCTTTGCGAGATTTGATGGAGAAGGACTATGATCAACCTATTGCTCCTTTGAGAGTAAATCAGATCAAATGTCCGGATGGTGAATTCTCTTTTCCAATGGTCGAACGGCACTTGTTGCACATGAATGGCGTAATGCCGGGGCTTGAATACGCTCCTGAAACGCCCGATCCAGCTGCATTGGATGCGCCGCTCTTGGAGGAGGATTTGCCGGCAGAGATGCCAGGCCAGGATGACATCGATGATCAGGAACTCGCTGAAAACCTCGGAAAGCTGATCAAAGATTCCCCCAAAAAGGGACCCGCGTCGGAAGAAATGGTCAAAGTCATTGATTTGAAGACCAGCAAGGACACCTTTGTTCCCAAAGATGGAGGTGCTCATTACGATGCGGGGGGTGTGAAAGCCCGAAGGTATTCAGGATCGAGCAAACCCGACAGTATTCCACCTTTTCTTTGGAAAACAATGTCAACCAAGC